CATAAGTTATGAATAAGCTGAAACTGAAGGCCCACTGTTATTGGCATAATATTTCTAAGGTTTCTTGGCGTAAATATCTCACAATGGCATAACTAGATTTATCATGGAGAGATGGTGCATAATTCAAGAAAAAGTGCAGGCATTTACACTCTTAAACATATTTGTCCATTAATTCAGACTCCATTTGGAGTACTTATTAAGTTTGAAAGTGAAGAATTAACATGACTGAAAATTTAACAATGCAATGTTCAACCATTTCCATCAATGCTTTCTTGAAATTGAGTTTAACCAAAGGATTACTCTAGAGATACGACTTTCAAGCTATAACGCATTCAAAAGAGACGAAGACGTACAATGATTCAGCTTAATATGCAAACATTAATTAAGGAAAAATATTAGGATCAGATTTTCCCTTACCCGTAGCCCCCTTTTAAGGAAAACAACAATAAGATCAGCTTGGGAAAATCTTTTTTTTTTTCTGTGTCGACAACTTCTTCGGAGCGAAACCAATCATCAAGGTTTAGGAACAGAAAATACTCAGGTTGTTATAATCAAGTAACTTTGAAGAAAATCAGGCAGTTTAATTCTCACACACTCAGTTTATGGAGAGTAGATTCCTAAAAGAACTAATGAATTCAAGCTCTAACGAAACTTCATACTAGTAACTCAACGAGTAAACATAGAAACTAACTTGGCAGATACCAAGAGGAAGCTTTAAATAATCACATATTTTAAGAAACCGAAAAATAAATAAATAAAATGACGACGAATACCGACCTTGTGTAGAGCAGCAAACTAGAACTTCAAAGCCAAGAGATTTAAACTTCGAACTTTCTCAAACTCTAATTCCAAAAAATAGAAGGACCAGAAAAAGAAGAGAATTTTTTTTGAACTCTAAAAAAAACTTGAAGTGTGTTGCAATATTTTCTCGTTTGGATAGTTCTTTGAATTTCCTGGATGATTGTTGGATTGTTCTTGGATCCGTTTCTTTTCCTTCTGATGCCTTTTTTCTCTGTTTCTAGATTGTTTTTTGGATCGTTCTTTGCTGATTTCCCCCAGATCCCCTCGATTGAGAACCCAAGGGGTCTTTTATAGGTAATTTTGGAGAGGCTTCCACTCTCATACCCATAAGATTAAGGGTGAGACGAACCAAAATCCGATGGTTCTTCGCGTCCCCCACTTTTCAGGCGGAACAATGATGATGGTCGAGACTTCTAGGCCTTCTTTGGGTCAAAATATAAATCGGAAAAGATGTAAAGTTGATAGAAAGGGGGCTGTGATTGATAGACGGCAGAGATAATGTTGGAAACCACCAGATATTGTCGTTCTTCGGCGACAGAGATAATGTTGGAAACCGCCGGATATTGTCGTTCTTCGGCGGTTCCTGGCCGTTCTTGATGGGACAAAACGACTGGAGATTGATGAGAGAGGACGAAGGGGCAAGGGGAAGGTGAGCGTGCAACATGAAAAACGCCTGGGGAAGGAGGAGAAAGAGTGAGGCATCGTCTTTTTTTTCTGGAAAAATAAGAAGACGTTGGGGCATCGGTCTGGGGAAGAAGCGACATGGCAGGCGGCTGATGGGTTGTACTATTTTTGAAAAAGATGAAAATGTTTTATTTAATTCGGGCCGTTCGATCGTTCGATCGGACGGTTAAGATAAATCAGGAATTAAAAGGAAAAGTTATATATATATATATATTAAATAATGGTAAAAGCTTAATTAATTAACTAAGACCATTAGATTTAATCGTAGGGTCAAGATTTAAACTAAATAAGCACAATCCATGTGCTCGCCTACGTGGCATACACAGATTGGCCGGTTTAAGAAGACTTGGATTGCCAAAATTGCTCAAATTAACTCCAATTAAATTATAACTACTTCTTGATTAAATAGTCATAATTTATTAAATTAAAAATAAATATTTTGCAAGAATAGCTTATTTGATAAAATTAGTCACTATTAAAATTAAATTAATATAAATTAGTAACCCTTTAATTAAGCTTTCTAATTTTAAAAAATGTACGCAAAAATATCTATTGCAACAACATAAATTATATTTGAATGAAAATAGATTCAATTCTTAAGAACGACACTTACTTAAAAATGACAAAGTAAGTAGTAATATAATACATTTAATTTTTGTAAGAAATAACATTTATGAAATAAATTTATCAGGTAAAATAAATAATCCAAAAATCTTTTCGTATTCCTATAAAATTTTCATGACATATATATTTTATTATTATTACTATTATTATTAGATGTGGAGAGACAAAATTGGGTGTCAACAGCTTGCCCCTTTCTTTGTTCATGGAAGAGAGTAAAAAAGACGTGGACAAAGAAATATTGACATTATTCAATTTTAGGCGACCCACCAAAATACACTTTGAGCAATAACTTGGCAAGAATGGCTATGGAGTTATGGCCGAACTCTGGCTCCTGAGTTGCCTACATATCTCAGGTTTCATGAGAAATCAGGCCAAATGTAGTTCGAGAGCATAGCAAATTTTTATTAAAATTTTGCCCCAGTATCGAATTATGGTAATACTGAAATCTTTCGGTGGCGAGGTATGAAGTGATTAGCACGAATAGAGGGATGAGATATGGTTCTAAAGAAACTTGAATGAGAAATGTTCCGTAGCAATTTACTGGAGACCCAAGATAGATAGACGATTTTTCAAAAGGATGCCCCGGTGTCGAGTTACAATGAACTGAGACATGAAAGAGCTATAAGTGAAATTAAAATCTGAAACTTCTGGAAATTGAGTTGAGTTGAGTTTTGAAAGTGAATCCTTGACGTAGCTAGTGATGCTTGACATTGCACTAACTTGCCCTAGTTTGCTGCTTAGAGGGAATTCCTCGTCGTAATGCTTTGTCCTGCAAAACATGTAAAAGGGTGAAAAGTACTTGTCGCGGTTCAAAAAAATTATAAATTGAAATAGTAATGTAAGGAGTAGAGTGTAGATGTTCAAACGATTGTTGATGTTTCTTTTTGTGTTGTGAGTGTGATGTAGGTAAAGTAACTTGTAATGTAGAGGCCCTCGACTGGCGGGGCGGTTGTTAGGTAAAAGACTGCATCTGGCTGTGTAAAACTTGTAAGGGAAAGCCTCCGACTGGCGGGGCTGTTGTAATGTAAAAAGCCTGTATCCGGCTGTGTAAAGCTTGTAATGTAAAGCCTCCGGCTGGCGGGGATGTTGTAATGTAAAAGCCTGTATCCGGCTGTGTAAAGCTTGTAATGTAAAGCCTCCGGCTAGCGGGGCTGTTGTAATGTAAATGCCTGTATCCGGCTGTGTAAAGGTTGTAATGTAAAGCCTCCGACTGGCGGGGCTGTTGTAATGTAAAAAGCCTGGATCCGGCTATGTAAAGCTTGTAATGTAACATATTATTGTTAGCGTATGACAGCGTCGCTATGCTTGCATTCCCCCGGTCGGTGGAGCTTTGGTGACGTTGCTACGATGTTAGTCTCCGATTGACGGAGTATTGCTTCTTTGCTTATATACATGTTCTGATTGGCGGAATTTGATTGATGTTTGCTTTGTACAGCCTCTGGTTGGCGGAGTTTGATGATGTTTACTATGTACAACCTCCGGTTGGCAGAGTTTGAGTGACATTTGTTATGTATAGCCTCCGGTTGGCGGAGTTGTTGATGAGGTTAGATTACAAGCTCCAGTTGGTGGAGTTATTTTGACAGAAAATTAAACATCCTATTTTCCTACGAGGGCCCTCTTTTCTTCAGTATTTGATCTAGATCTTGAGTGTACCTGCAAAGATTTAAACAAAATATATTTAGACGTAAGATGCAAGTTGAAGTACTTCGGGGAAATAAAGTAGAAAAAAAGTATTTTGGCTTATGATTGTGAGAAGTCGAATGGCGTGTCTGGTCATGCCCCAAAACTTGATGTTATTTTCTTGATTCCCGTGTTCCTGCACTCAAAGAAAATTTTAGTTTTGGGAGGGGGTGTTGATTTGCATCGACTTGTGGACTGAAGCCTCGTCATTAGAATCCTTCGACACCTTGTCAGTACCGCACATAGATTCTTAACCTAGAGACTTGCTATGTGGATGAGTGAAAAAAGAGAGAATATTTTTTAAAATAATTAGCTTGTTTTTCTAGAAAATAAGTATACTACGTATATATTAGGCATATATATAGTAATTCTCTAGCGTTTTAGATTATGACATGTTCCAAAGTCCATTGAGCTTTCCGTTTTGTTGACTATATCCAACGTAGGCCTCCTGCAGCTTTTATCCTTCTGATGAAGCTTTCCTAGCTTTTTTGTAGACACTGCGACGATCGATATCCTTCAATATTCTGAGGTTACGCTAACTATGAGGAAGTGTTTCCTAAGGGTAAGTAAAGAAAAAAAAACAATAAATAAAAATTATGCAATGCATCGATCGAACCTAACTCAGGCTGCCTATGTATCCCCAATGTAGGAATCAGATCGCGACGTAGTTCGAATGCAAGTGGGAGAAATAGAAGTATGTAATGCAATGACCGAGCTTGACTCAAGCTGCCTACGTATCCAAGTGGAATCAGGTCGGGACGTAGTTCGAATACAAGAGGAAAGTGAAAAATATGAAATGCAATGACCAGGCCTGACTTAGGCTGCCTACGTAGCCAAACGGAATCAGGTCAGGACGTAGTACAAATACAACATGAAAGTGAAAAATGCAAGGGACCAAATCCGACAAGGATTGCCTACGTATCCCACCAAGGGAATTCAGGTCGAGCGTAGTTCTAAATACATAGAAATGATGATTTGGGTTTTCTAAGGGAGACCGGATCCGATGTGGGTTGCCTACGTACCCCACCGTGGGAAGTCAGGTCTAGACGTAGTTCTGTTACATTGAAAAATGCAAAGTACAAAAAATAAGCGCTAATCTTGAGGTCTTCAGATGTAGAATTTCTTGATTGCGTCTGAATTGATTGGCTTTGTGCTCACTCTGCCGTCCATTTCCACTAAGATTACCACTCCTTCTGAGAGTACTCTATGAATCATGTAGGGTCCTTCCCAATTTGGTGAAAATTTCCCTTTGGCTTCTCCTTGATGAAGAAAATCTTCTTCAATACTAAATGCCCTGGTGTTAACTGTCGAGGTTTGACTTTCTTGTTGAACGCTTTGGTCATTCTGTTTTGATAGAGTTGGCCATGACAAACCGCGTCCATCCTCTTTTCATCGATGAGCATCAATTGTTCATGCCTACTACGTATCCATTCTGCATTGTCCAGACCAACCTCTTGGATAATCCTTAAAGATGGTATTTCCACCTCAGCACGTATTACTGCTTCTGAATCGTAAACCAACATGTAAGGAGTTGCCCCAGTTGATGTTCTGATTGTGGTGCGATAACCAAGTAAAGCATATGGTAACTTTTCATGCCATTGCCTGTGAGTGTCCACTATTTTTCTTAGGATCTTCTTGATATTCTTATTTGCAGCCTCAACTGCTCCATTCATCTGTGGCCGGTAAACCGTAGAATTTCGATGAGCAATCTTTAACCTTTCACAAGTTTCCTTCATAAGATCACTGTTGAGGTTGGCTGCATTGTCTGTTATGATTGATTCCGAAATTCCAAACCGACAAACTATGTTATTGCGAACAAAGTCCGCCACTACCTTCTTAGTCACTACCTTGTATGTCGAAGCTTCGACCCATTTTGTGAAATAATCGAACCCATCACATTGAGCTCATTCGGTGGAACCCGTATAAAATCTCCATGCACTTGACACTGATGACACTTTTGCACAAACTGGATGCTATCTCTCTCTATGGTCATCCAAAAATATCCGGCTCTTAAAATCTTCTTTGCCAAAGTGAACCCATTCATGTGAGGTCCACATGTTCCTGCATATATTTCTTCCAAAAGCCTTGTCGCTTCTGTGGCGTCGACACATCTCAGCAATCCTAAATCCGAAGTTCTCCTATATAGGATTTCTCCGTTAAGGAAGAAATGATTGGCCATCCTCTTCAAAGTCCATTTCTGTTTGCTTGTAGCATTTTCAGGATATTCTTGTGCCTCTATCAGTCTTCTGATGTATGAGTATCAAGGTTTTCCATCCAATTCCTCATCTACATGAAAACAGTATGCATGTTGATCATGTATCTCTATATCTATAGGGTCGATGTAATTCTTGTCTTGATGTTGAATCATCGAGGACAATGTTGCCAAAGCATCGGCAAACTCATTTTTGAGCTCGAGGGGACATGCTTTGAACTCAATCTTTTGTGAATTTCCTACTCAACTCTTTTATGTAATGCAAATAAGGAAGGATCTTGACATTCTTAGTGGTCCATTCTCCTTGCACCTGGTGAACCAATAAGTCAGAATCTCCTATCACCAAGAGTTCTTTGATATTCATGTCGATGGCCATCCTGAGTCCGAGAATACAAGCTTCATATTCCGCCATGTTATTGGTACAGTAGAACCTAATCTTAGCTGAGATTGGGTAATACTGACCTGTTTCTGAGATTAAGACTGCTCCTATTCCAACTCCAATAGAGTTTGATGCTCCATCAAAGAACATTCTCCATCCATCATATGACTCTGATATATCTTCTCCTACAAACAAAAACTTCTTCATCAGGGAAGTAGGTTGTGAGCGGCTTGTAATCCTGGTCCACTGGGTTTTCTGCGAGGTGATCAGCCAGGGCTTGTCCTTTGATGGCCTTCTGTGTCACATACACAATATCAAACTCGCTCAACAAAATTTACCACTTCGCTAGTTTACCCGTAGTCATGGGCTTCTAAAAGATGTACTTTAGTGGATCCATTCTTGAGATCAAGTACGTGGTATATGCAGACAGGTAATGCCTAAATTTTTGCGCAATCCAAGTCAAAGCGCAACATGTTCGTTCCAACAACGTGTATCTTGCCTCGTATGGTGTGAACTTCTTGCTCAAATAGTAAATAGCTTTGCTCTCTTCTACCTATCTCATCATGCTGCCCCAATACACATCCAAATGCATTATCCATGACAGATAGATACAATAACAAAGGCTTTCCAGGCTCTGGTAGGACCAATACTGGTGGGTTGGACAAGTATTCTTTGATTCTATCGAAAGCCCTTTGGCATTCCTCTGTCCATTTTGTGGCAACATCCTTCTTCAGTAACTTGAATATGGGTTCGCAGATCACTGTAGATTGAGCTATGAACCGACTGATGTAATTCAGTCTTCCCAAGTAACTCATCACGTCTTTCCTGGTCTTGGGTGGAGGTAGCTCTTGGATTGCTTTTATCTTTGATGGATCCAACTCTATGCCTTTCCTGCTAACGATGAATCCCAATAGTTTTCCCGCGGGTACTCCAAATGCACACTTTGCTGGATTCAACTTCAGATTATACTTACGCAACCTCTCGAAGAACTTTCGTAAGTCATCTAGGTGGTCTGAACTTCTTTTGGATTTGATAACAACATCATCCACGTACACTTCAATTTCCTTGTGGATCATATCGTGAAAAAGGGTAGTCATAGCCCTCATGTAGGTTGCACCAGCATTTTTTGAGACCAAATGGCATTACTCTGTAGCAATACACCCCCCATGGAGTGATAAACGCTGTCTTCTCTGCATCAAATTCACCCATCAGGATTTGGTGATATCCCGCAAAGCAATTGACAAATGATTGTAACTCATGTTTTGTACAATTATCGATAAGTATATGAATATTTGGAAGAGGGAAATCATCTTTAGGGCTGGCCCTGTTGAGATCTCGATAGTCTACACATATTCTGATCTTTCCATCCTTTTTTGGCACAGGCACAATATTGGCTAACCATGTAGGGTAATTTGTGACCCTTACAATGTTCGCCTCAATTTGCTTAGTTACCTCCTCCTTGATCCTTAAGCTCAAATCTGGCTTGAATTTTCTTGTCTTTTGCTTAACAGGTAGACAAGTGGGATCAGTCGGTAATTTGTGCGAGACAATGTCAGTGCTTAATCCTGGCATGTCATCATAAGACCAAGCAAATACGTCAACATACTGCTTAAATTCTATTAACTCTTGCTTTCTTTCAGCCTCCAAATGTATGCTGACTCGTGTCTCCTTCATGATTTTCTCATCTCCTAAGTTGACAACCTCTGTTTCATCCATATTGGGTTTCTTTTGACTTTCAACCTGCTCGATCTCGTGTAGCATATTTTCAGGCATCATGCTTTCATCATACTCTTCGTGATCTTGTTCATCATTTTCACCTTGATCGGTGGATTCGTTACATGTCATAATCGTTGAACGAGGATTTTTATTAATAGGAGTACTGAAAAGTGCAAAAGGTAAGTAAAAATAAATAGATATTTAAAATAATGAGATTTTTAAAAAAGAAAAGAAAATAAAGACTTTTATTTCAAAGCATTCTAGCTTTTAGAAGAGGCAAGCAACAAAAGATTGGGCATGATTCAAGCCTCAATTTGATCATGCGAATTTTAAAATTAAGACTACTTTTCCACACTACCAGGACTCTGGTTGAAACAGGGATGGGCTGATGGTCCAATTCTGCAAGATTTCTCCAGGTTTGGCATCACAAATGGTCAACTTGTTGAGGTTTATCCCTTCTTCTTCTCCAGCCATGGCCACGAACAAATTGACTATTCCTTCCATGATGTCATCAACGCCGGCTTGATCTGGAATCAAAGCTTGTTCTGGTACAAAGATTGTATTTCTTGACCCGTGATGGTCCCTTCCCGAGGCAGGCTCATATCCGAGTCCGTTGGTGCCTCTCTGATGCTTCAGCTGGATTGGCTTAACTATACCATTGGACTTAGGTCCAAGTCCATTCTTAGGCTGATATCCATACTTCAACATTTCTGACGCAACCATTTTTATTGCACTTGACAATTTGGTATCTTCGGGCTCTGTTTCCTCATTGACCCAAAGCTTGCATGATTTCCAAAGTGTGAAAAGTGGCTCCGTCTAACTCTTCGGTGAGTGGGATAGAATTAACAGAATGAATGGGGTGACTGAGTTCTCCGTGGACAGTAACTTCTGTGCGTCCCTACTCAAACTTTACACATTGATGAAGAGTGGAAGGAACCGCTCTTGCCATGTGAACCCATGGTCTTCCCAATAATAGGTTGTAGTTGGACGATACATCCATCACTTGTAATAGAATGGGGAATTCAGCCGGCCCCACCTGCAATGTGAGATGTATCTATCCGATGACACTTCTTTGTGCTCCATCAAAAGCTCTGACTTTCACACGACTTTCCCTTATCTATCCCATATTTAACGCCTAAATCCCTCAAAGTGGTGAAATGACAGATGTTGCATCCAGAACCACCATCAACTAAAACTCTAGTCACAATTTTATCACAATATTTGACTGCGATGTCAAGCGCTTTGTTGTGACCAACCCCTTTGCAGGCAACTCATCATCGTGGAAAGAAATCTTGTTAGCTTCCACTATTCTTCCAATCGTTGCAGCTAAGGTCTCACTTGTAGTCTCTTTTGGAATGATCACTCCGCTTAACACCTCCATCAAAGCATTTCTATGAGCTTCAGAACTCATAAGCAAAGACCAAATGGATATGTGGGCTGGCGTCTTCTTCAACTATTCTTCAACCGAATAGTGTTTAGACTGCATCTTCTTCCAAAACTCTGCGGCTTCAGCATCGGTAATATTCTTCTTTGGATTCTGTTCTTTTTTGAGAACTCTTTGATTTAGGTCCTCTGGGGCATAACACCTCCCCGACCTAGTCATCCCTTGAGCCACGGTAGTGTCGATCATCTTGCCCTTGACACTTGCTCGATAATCCCAAGGGACTACTTTGGTGTCATACTCGGGCTTCTTAGCAACTAAAGTGGTCACTACAACTCTTGGGAGATATGTTTGGACAGTCAGAGGTTCCCTTAGTTGAACAGTGATAACAGGTTGCACCGAAGATGTCATGGCATCCGCTTCATCTATATTTGAATAGTCGGGGGTCCCATATTCATCATCCAGAGTAACTATGTTGACTTCCCAATTCTCATGGTTTGGCAAGGGATTGTTGTTCACATTGGGAGGTGCTGGAGTGCATTTGATTACTCCTCTCCTGATCAAAGACTCGATCTGGTTCTTCAAACCATAACAATCTTCTGTGTCATGTCCTTGGGCTCCTGAGTGGTAAGCACATCGCTTGTTCCCATCAAAATTACGAGGGATTGGATCAGGAAGTTTTCCTTCAACTGGTTGCAGCACTCCCGCTGTCCTCAACCTCTCAAACAATTGAGCATAGGGTTCAACAATCGGTGTATAAGCGCGAGCATTTCTAGCTTCAGGATTTGGACGTTGTCTCGGTGCATAAGTTGGTCTATTTTGGTGGATTGGTTCTTGGACATGGACATATGGTCTTGGAGGATTTTGGTATGCTGGTGCTCGGGGTGGATTATAGTGTGGTTGGGTATTATAACACTGGGACGTATGAAGTATGCGCAGCGATTTGGGGATTCTTGGGGTATCGGTGAGATGGTCCTCCTGGTTGGTAAGTGACAGCTGAAACATCCTCCCTTTTCTTTTTGATTGCCGCCAATGGAACCCGATTGTATAGCCCTACTTGCAGCTTGCAATGCGACCATAGACTGAATCTTCCCCAGATTTAACACCTTCCTCTATAAAGTCTCCCATCTTGACCAATTCTGCAAACTTCTGAACCATCATTGACATCATTTTGTCAAAGTAGATACCTTCTTGAGCTCGAATAAAGTACTTTGAGAGCTAACTCTCATCTAGTGGTGGTTGCACCCTTGCGACCTCAGTTCTCCAACGTCGTGCATATTCCTGGAAATTCTCAGATGGCTTCTTCTGTATATTGGCCAATGAGAATCTGTCAGCAGTAATTTCAGTATTGAATCTGAAACGAGTCATGAAGTCCTCGGCCATTTCCTGCCAGTCACGCCATTTGCGAGGGTCTTGGCGGGTATACCAGGTTAATGCTTCTCCAGACAGACTCCGAATGAACAACTTCATCCTCAACTTCTCATTTCTCCC